TAATAATAATAAATAATAATAATAATAATAAATAAAATATAATAATATAATAAATAATAATAATAATAAATAATTAATAATAATATTTTAATGATAATGATAATGATAATAATAACAATAATAACAACAATAATAGCAATAATAACAAGGATAACAGCAATAATGATAATGATAATGATAATCACAATAATTATTGATAACATTTGATAATCATAACAATTGATAATGATAAGAATGTTGAATATTAGTAATGATGCTAATGATGATATTAGCAATGATGATAATAATAATGATAACGATAATCATTATCATCGTTATTATTATAACTATTATTGATATCATTATCAGTACAGTAATGATAATGATAATATCTATCATTATTAACATTACTATCATTATCATTATCATTATTACTATCATGATATTAAGAATGATAATCATAATAATAATGATATATGATTATGAAGAATAATAATAACAGTAATAATACTAATAGAACAATAGAAAAAAAACAATAATACTAATATTCATAATAATAATTCCGATAATAAAAATTAATATCAATAAGGATAAATGATGATAATAATAATGACATACATAATAATAATGATAATTAATAAATAATACATTACACCAAACAAACAACAACAACAATGATAGTAATAGGTAATGATAACAACAACAATAACAACAACAACAGAATCAACAATAACAATAAAAATAACAACACCCGATAATAACAAAGACGAAACACACAACAAAGAAATACAAGACAGTACACCCACTTGGAAATCCTTGCAAGGCACACTAAAGCAAGGGGCAGCACACACACCCCTTCCAAAGGAGCTCCTGGGACACAAAGGGAACGGAGTTTTAAAGGATACATAAATTAAGATGAAAAGGTGGCGGGGGAAGGTGGGGAAGGTGTGGAGGTAATGGGGGGAAGGTGTGGGAGGTGGGGGGGAAAGGGATAATGGAGGTGTGGGAGGTGGGGGGGAAGGGAAGGAAGGTGGTGAAGGAGGGGAGGTAGGGGGTGAGATGTGGGGGAGGGGGAGGTGGGGGAAGGGGAGGTAGGGTGAGATGGGGGGAGGGGGAGGTGAGGAGGGGGGATATGGAGGTGGAGAAGGGTGGGGAAGGGGAATATGGAGGTGGAGGAAGGTGGAGAAAGGAGGAAGGTAGCAAGGAAGGGAGGTACTGGGAGATGGACGAAGGTGGAAGCTTTGGCTAGGAGGTGGGTAAAGGGGGATATGGAGGAGGTGGGGGGGGGGGGAAGCGGGTGTGTCTAGGCCGAATATCAAATGCTTAGGGAAACGAGAGAACACAGCGCCAGACGCATCTCCAGGTGAATTATTAAGGGGAAAGCGGCGTGGCGTAGGGATTCACTCGCTGGGCATTATTAAACGAGGGTTGAGGGGTTGGGGAGGGAGGGGGGAAGGGAAGGTTGGGGAGGATTGGGAGGAAAGGGAGGGGGAGGGGTAAGGGTGGGGCAGGGGAGAGGGGGAAAGGAGGAGAGGTGGGGAAGAGGAGGAGGATTGGGGGAGGAGGGGAAGGGAATGGGGAGGGGGAAGGGGGGGAAAGGAGGGGGGAAGGGTGGGAGAGGGGGAAAAGAGGAGGAACGGGGATGGGGGAGGGGGTAAACAGGGAACGGCGGAGGTTGGGAGAGGGGTAAAAGGCAGGAGAGGTGGGATAAGAGGGGGAGGTGGGGAAAGGGAAGGAGGGGAAGAGGGGAGAGGAGGAAGAGGAGGAGAGGTGGGGGAGAGGAGGAGGACGGGGTTTGTGGAGGATGGGGAGGAAAGGCGCGAGGGAGGAGAGAGAGAGGGAAAGGAAGAGGAATGAGGACGGAGATGGGCGATGGAAGGGGGGGTGAAAGGAGGAGGGTAATGAGGAGGAGGAGGAAGGGGGAGGAAGGGAGGTAGTCTAGGAGGTGGGGAGGGAGAAAATTGATGGAGAAGATGGTCTTGCTGGTGCGGAGAGGGTGGTGAAGACAGAGAAGAGGGGAAAGGATGGGGAAGAGTAGTGAAGTTGTGGGGAGGGAGGAAGAAAAAGAATGGGGAGGATAGGTCCTAGCTGGTGGGGAGGCGAGGGCAGGATGGGGAAGACTGTCTAGATGATGGGAAAGGGAAGGAGAGAATGAGGACAGGATGAAGAAGATTATCTAAGTGTTAGGGAGGAGGAGATTAAGGAAGACAATAGGGGTTAAGGAGGGAGGGAGGGAAGGAGGAAGATTCTTACTTCTTCTCCTCCCTCTCCCTCCCTCTTCTTCCACTCCTTCTCTTCATTCTATTCATCCCCCTCCTCTTCCTCATTCTCTCCTCCTCTTCCTCCTTCATCTCCTCCTCTTCTCTTCCTCCTCTTTCTTCCTCTATTCATCCTTCTCCTCTTCCTCCTCTCTTCTCTTTTCTCTTTCTCCTCTTCATCCTCCCCTCTTTCACGTTCCTCCGTCTTCTCTTCCTAACTCTTTTCTGTTTCTTACCCTCCTCTTCCTTCTTCTAATCCTCTT